GGTCTTCTGGAACTCCAGGTTGTTGTAGGCTCGCATGTGATTGCCAGGAATCGAAACCCAGTCATCTAGAAGAGTAATCAGTGCTGTTAACCACTGAAGTCTTGTCAGTTCCTAGTATATTTATTTAAGAGACAATAAACAGAGAAACAAAGCTTTCAGGGCCTAAGGATTCTAAGTAGTTTAAGTCTTTGACATCTTCTAGAAGTTTCAACGTTTATAGTATTATCTGTAAAAAAAGCTTGTTTTTTTTTTTCCTTCAGAAGACACTAAAAATTAGTGAGTCAAGTAGTGTGTCCACATTCCTCAAGTCCATGTTAACAGAAAAAGCCAAATCCTTCATTACAGGTACAGAGCACTAACATTTGTATTTAAAATATATTTGCTACCAGTGTGATATTCCATACCTATACCCTAGCAAAGAGAATACTGTGGTGGACAGATGAATGGAGATTTAAAGGCCATCCTTTGGTTCACATTTATGCAATGCCAACTCCAGCAATTGGAAAAATAGAAAGTATGAGAAAATAAAAAGACCCTGCACTATTGCATGCAATATAACAAATCCAGTATTATATATGAGAAATGTACTAGAGAAGTCTCCAAGAATGTCTCGGCCACTATTTAGGGTGGCCTTGAATTAACCATGTATGAAAGCAGAGAAAATATTAAGAGCTGTATTTCATCTTCACTACCACTAAGACTTAAACACTGATTGATTGGTTCAAAGTGGCAATTGAACTAGACAAGAAATTTAGATATCTTTTACGTTTGTGTGTGTGTGTGTGTGAATACATATACACATACTCAATCATATGCACATGTATTATATACATATGCACATCCACATGTGCCCATATACATATACTTTCATATGCCAATATATATATATGTGTGTGTGTGTGTGTGTGTGTGTGTGTGTGTATGGTGGTTTTTTTTGTATTTTTTCTTACTATTTCCTAAAAATATTGAATATTCCTTACTTTTATCAGAAATTATACAAGTATCATATATTTTTTACCTATTCTATAATGTACATTAAAATACTTCTGAAAGTAAATTGCTTTTGTTCACTAACTTAATATGAAAAAAAGCCCTTTCCTCCTGCAAGTTGCCTTTATTTGTAGTGTTTAGCATAGCAAGAAAATAAAACTAAAATAGCCCTTGACGAGGTTGGAGTTAAAGGTTTGGGGGATGAAATCTTCAGAGGTAAAAATTTATTTTCCTTATATTTTACTAAATGTGCAGCTACCAATGGTATCACTGCTGATGATAAATTTGATCATGGTTGGCTATTTGCTTTATTCTAAAACTATTCTTTTTCCATACTCCTCTAGTACCTGAAGGTACCTCCCCCTCCCAATCTCCCTCCCTTTCTCCCTCTCCCTCCCTTCTTCCCTCCCTCCCTCTGTCCCAACCAAGTCTTTTTTTAAAATTTTTCTTTCAATTCATTCATTTGCTTGTTTTAGAACAGAGTCGAGCTGTGTATTTCTAACTGACCTAATATTTACTATACAGGCCAAGTTGGCCTTGAAATCATGGTAATAATCCTGCCTCATTCTCCCAAGTTTTGTGACTGCAGATAAAGGTGGTACATCTGGCTTTCCCTTTACGTTTTGAGCACATATACAGTTGTACATTAAATGTAAAACTGTAGCTCCTACACATATCATCCATCATAGTGTTAGAAAAAGAAGGCCAGACCTGGTGGCTCGGGCTGGAGGCAGAGCCAGGTTGATATCTCTGAGTTCAAGACTGGCCTGGTCTATAAAAGTTCCAGACCAGCCTGAGCTACAAAGAGAGACACGGCCTCAAAACAACAACAGAAGGAAGTGATCATTCTGATATAATTAAAGATTATAAAATATCCAAGCTATTGTTCTAAAAAACATTTAGTACATGTACAAGAAATGCATTAACATGTATAATACAAAATTAAAATTCATAAATTATACATTTATAGCAGTATATTATAAATAAAATGACACTCAATTTAATAGTATTATATAAATTGCAGCTCTTTTATGTGAGTAATATGAGGCTTAAAATTGACTTTAAAATACAAATAGCACGCTTATAAATTCTAGAAAATGGAATTATTATCTTTAATTGCTTCACATGACAGGTCTGCCACTTTAACTTTCACGATAATATGAAAGAAATATTTTCTGAGCTTAATTTTGCTCTTCATTTCACGCACCAATTTTCTTTTCAAAGACATGACCCATTTATTATTTGTTCTAAAATACAGAGTTGCCTTGGTAACTTTCAAATTATAGGCCTTCTATAACTGCTGATGAGGAATCTCACAGATAATTCAAGGAAAAGAAAAAGATTTTTAATCAGACTTTAATTTCAATACATTCAATATAGTTCAGAATAATCAATATGTTGGAGAAGGGACCCAAAAGTGCTGGTCATGAACGAGGCTGCCTTATGCCCCTTACCTTCATTTTTCCACGTGTCTCTTTCTACATCAACCCTCTTCAAAGAGCTAGCAATTTGTGAAATAATTTTGTGACTCATTTCCAAATTCATCACACTTTTTTCTGTCTGTGATAGAGTAATATAAGATGTTTGACTTTTGAGAACAAATGTATGAAACTCATTTTGCTTGGATTTGTACTCATTTTTAAATTTAAATATATGGATTTTTAAATTTATGTTATTTTATTTGGAAATGATTAAAACAGTACTAAACTTCAGAGACAATGGATATCATTAACTTAGGTATCATCAGTTTATTATAAAAGGGAGGCATGGGAATTATTTAGATGGTGAAATAGTTCAGAATGTTATTGGATTGGGCAACTTCATGGGACACCATTTCAACAATGATTTTAGTCCACATACTTTCCAATATTGTCATCATCTCTAAATGAGAAATAATCCTCACCACTTAGAATTACATTGGTGCCTCCATCCTCTGAGAGATGAACTTTGTGTCCAACTTTCACATTAAGTGGTAGACTATCTCCATCCTTTCCTTTCATGTTTGACCACACAGCTATTACGGTTGCTTGTAATATTTTTTTCTTGAGGTTTGTTTTCTAGAAGCACACTTCTATCTTTAAGGTGCAGTTTCTGTTCCATGCCTTTTCACCAATACTCTGTCAAAGATCAGAGGAAACTGCCCTCCATGATGCATGTTGGGGAGGCTGAGTCATTGCATCCCAGCTGCCACTGCATGCACTGATTTAATGGCAGAGATGACGTGGAGGGAATGAAAATTTAGATTAGGGCAAACTAGGGTCAAATATCTAGATTGGCATTTTAAGATCATTTAAGGAGATATATCAAAGTGGGGTTTGTCTGAAACTCACTTTTATATATTTTTAAAAAGTAGATTATATATGAAATAGATTTCTTCAAACTCTGAGATATATGATGTTCTGACAAATCTTTTCTTCTGACCACATCTCAGGAACTTTATTCATTAATTGCACTGATGTCCTTGTTCAACTTTAAACTCCTTGTTTATTCTGCAAGGTGCCAGCATGGGTTCCTCATTCAGGCTGACCAGTTCCCTTAGTTTAAAAAGGTGAATGTTAACAAAGAAGCAAAAATATTGTGATGTAAGAGCTTGAAAGTTGAGGGTGTTTTTTCCCTAACAAACCCACAAACAAGAGCTTAGGAAAGCATATTAGAGCAGATATTCCCCGAAATCTTGGTGGTAACACTGCTCTGGAAGCCTCCAGAACTCTGAGACTATACATTTTGTTGTTGTTTTAAGCTGCTCGGTTAGTAGCATTTACTAGAATAGAGACATGTTTTAACCTAGTGTTAGGGAAAGTTTATTTTAGGCTTGCCCCATTAAGCATAACATCACAGGCTTACAAATCTGCTTTGCCTAGTCTGCATTTTGCATTAGTACACACACAAGCATATTTTCTCTTAAACATGTTAAAAGACACCCGGTTAAGAATTTGTATTTTCCACTTACCAAATGTGATCTTACCTCATTGATCTTCAGGTTCCTAATAACATTTGGCATAACAAACTATGAGCTTATGAACAAAGATCACATGTGATAATTACTGAAGAATGATCTTTAATGGTGAGGAAGAGTTATACTATAAATACAAAAATCAAGTGTCCAAGGACCAGGCTGATTGAATTCATCTATTCCTTCATTTACTATCTCAGCACTGTAAATGCAGACTCAATCCTGTCATCTTAAGATTAGAGCTACTATAGTTTCCACATATTGTGTTTGCTATGAACACATCTCTTACCTGCAGAGAGCACTTAAATGATATGATGTCACTGCAAAGCAATACATGAGCAAAACTAATGTCGAAAGATAGGCTCATGTAGTTCACAATTTTAGATATTGCAAATGCAGACAGCATTGTCCAGCAATGGTGAGGGTATCCCTCTGTCTGTGGCACCTCATGGCAGATTTCAATAGCATGCATGTCTGTGGAATTTAGCTTTCACCTCTTTAAATACAGAGCCAGAGAAAATAACTGACGTCCAAAGTCCCTTCATGGACACATCTCCAACTGATATAACAACTTTCCACTAGGCCAGACTTCAAAATGTACCAGTCTCCTAAATACTATAGGGAATCTTGGGAACCATGCCTATAACTTATGAATTTTTTTCCCAGAGTTTTGTAAAAGAAATACAAGTTTTTTTAATTTGAATATTATGTGTATAAAATATTTCTGCCTGAATATAGTGAATTGAAACCTACTGTATACATTTCTGTATACATTATTGTATGCCTCCTGGTTGTAATTAGGTAAAAAAGATACTAAATAAATAATAATGGACAGGTACTTTCTCAGATTGCTGTCTACAGTGTTTTTTTGAGTGTTTCATACCAAACAAAAATTTACTTCTGGAAAGAGTGTCTGTTTCCTATGTGCCTGGTTTTTATAAACGGGAAGGAGTCACTTAGCATATATATTCTAGTAGTTTACCAGGAGAAAACAGAAAGAGTTGAAATTTAAAAAGCAAATGATACTTTCACATTTATTCAATTTCCAACAACTTACCCAGGAACTATACTGCTGCAAGACAGACTGTCTCAGTGCCGTGGATAAGTTATAGTCTTCAGAACTGTGGTGTGCTTGGTGTGCTGCCCAGATAATATTAATCTCTGCAAAACACATGATTTACAACAAGTGATGAGAACGAGAATAGAGCAGCTTCCACTCAGTCATGTGCTTTGCTCTGCTGAGTGCAGATGAAAGTCCTGGAACATCTCTGAAGAGGCTAGCTAACAGAACGATCATTAAAAGAAGGGTCTTTGAAGAACTTTTGGAACTAGACCATATACGAATTATAAATACACAGAAATCGAAACCTAACCAGTAACTACTCACACTGTATCTGATACAATTACGTACCACCAATGAAATGAAATGACTTCCAAAATGTATGCTTTGCCAAAATTTACATTATGACAGATCATAAAAGCTAACTTGTGGTGGTGTAACAACATAGTCAAAGGATAGTGATGAGTTTTCAGTATGTGATAACACATTTCTAATTAAAAAATTCTCCAGTGGGGGAATTTGGTGTGTAATGAAATATTACACCATATTATTTTCTGATATGAAAAACTTTTGGAATAAGCAAACCCTAACAATATTTGATGTTTAAAAATAGACTTTTATTCACACACTACTCATTACACATGATTCTTCTCATAGCTTACCAAGATTTATACCATTTCACACGCCTTCCATGTGTCCTGAAAGCAAAAATGCAAATCAAGGCTGTTTATTACACCAAGAAGTACCAAGGCTTGATCTCACTTCAACCAGGGAAAGTGTTTTCATTAACCATTGTCTGATAAATACTTAAATCATGATTGGTTATTGTTTCATTCAATTAATCAACCCTAATAAATATATAATAGCTAAGAAATCCAAAAATTATTTTTGTATGAATGAGCTGTAATTCATCATAAGGTTTTTAAAAACTATACAAAGTATTTGAAACTGTTTAGGGCCCAAATTTCTGGCTGATTTATTATATATAAGAGATTTGTCAGGGTAGTTTTTCTGTATCTTCAGATGTTGGGTGGGCTTTATTTAAGAGATAATAAATTTGTTGAATTTTCTAAGTTTTGTAAACTACTTACCAATTGACCCATTGAAATAATCTAAACACCATTTCCTCCTTTGAAAAGTCACTAGTGAGCATTTTAGAACCCGGTGCTTATAAACCCTGTCTTTAAATATACATGTCAAGAAACATGTGGTTTTTGACTTACCAATATTTGAATTTAAATATTGATCCTAATGTACCCAAAATGTGGGTTCAGAGATGGGTAAGGTAATCTAGAGCTACTGCCTTATAACCTCCACAGAAGTAATTGTGGAACAAAGAATCCATGAAAGCAGAGGTTAAAGACCTGTGTCTGTAGTTGTTTTGAAAGCATTTACTTCCTATCACAAACTGTGTAACAGGAGTCTGAGATCAATGAAGCACAGCTGCGTAAACAGCAGGAAGTAACAGGATCCCATGGGCCCACCTATGTCCCTTCCCAGCAATGGACATGAGTCAGGAAGACTTTTTTTCTGCTTTGAACAGTCTCTACTCTGCTTATTGGAAGTAAATTATTTTCAAGCATTGTAACAAAAAGGTATTTTTAAAGAAAATGGTTCCTATTGTTCTTATGTGAATGGAATAAGAGAAAGTTGATAGTTAATTTTTTTGTTTACCTTCCTCAGTGCTTGAATTGGTAGACTCTTTCTTCTAATAAATGAAAGTAAATATTAAGGAGGAAAAGTGATATTATTTAGAAAAGATTTTTATGGAAAGATTTAATAAATTATGTATTCTGTTCAACAGTAATATTTTTCTTTTCCTATAAGCAAATTGTAGACTTTATGTTCATATAACATTTTAATAGCATTTTGCAATGGCATAATTAGAAATAATTTTGCTTACAGTGCCAAAATATATATTTATATGAATATACTTGTTTAATAAGTAGCCAAAAATTTCACTCATGTCGCCAAATTCTAATGTAATATGTATATTATATTATTGAGTTGTTAACTTTAAACAGTTTCAATAAATGTACGAGTTTCAGAGCCTAGATTGCTCAGTGGTTAAGAGCACTTGCTGCCCTTTTAGAAGACCCATGTTTCTTGCTCTTTACATTGGATTGTTCACAACTACTTGTAATTCTAGTTCCTGGGGATCCAATGTCCTGCTCAGGACTGAGTACATCCTTGAACATGATACAACATATACACACACACACACACACATACAGACACACACACACACACGCACACATACACATAAACCTTTATAAGATGTACATATGTCAGTAAAGCCTTAATTTCTAATATTTAACACTTGGCAATCTAAAGCAGTTATGTAATTACTATTGCTACAGAGAAATTGTATCATTCTGTATTTTTTCATGTACCTCTGTGGTTGAGATAGACACAATCTAAAAATGTTTCCTGAATTATATTATAGAATTAAGAACTTTGATACTGTAATGAAATGGGACTTTGGAACCCTGAAGTCTTTGAGCTTGCATGACATGATTCTCTCCTGCCAAAGTGAGGACTCGGCTCTGGTGATTCCGGTCCATTCATCATCCTGCCTTCAGTGAGCCTTCTTCCTTTTAAGTCAGCAAGATTAAGTGACTCCCATCTAGAAAACAGGTTTCTGTCAAAAGTGGTGGAAGCGTTATCACTGGTAATTTAAAAAGAATAGCTGTGCTTCTAGTACTCTCTCATGTTCTCCCATTCCTAGATGGCATGGTGGAAAATATCTTTTACTGATCTACTTTTGAAGGAGAACAGGGAGAGGTTCTCAACTCCCAAGGCTTCAGGGTCTAAGCTTGTTGTGTAAACACTGGAAATCCAGCCAACAGTCATGTACATGAATATGGATGAAACTTGTGCAGTTGAGACTGTAGATGCAATACGTCTGTCCTCAGCTGAACAGTGTAACAACAGATAAACTTCTGGGGCTTGAACCAGTGGGTTCATAGAAGTGACAGGCTGATTCCTGCGTCCCTAAAACTATCTTACCATAAACTATTCTTTTAATCTTCTAACTTGCTGTACCAAAACATATGAATAAGGTAGCCTGTGACTCTGTCACTCTCAGCCTTTGGTGCCTTACAGTGTGCTTTCTGTCCTGTTAGCTTTTCTGCTTTGAGGATATCAAATAGCTAGAATCTTACAGTAATCAAATTATGAAGTTTGGCTTTTTTAATCATTCAACATGAAGAACTAATAGACTATCTCCTTCCTGTGTTTGTAATTATTTGTTTTTGTATTGATGAATAGTACTCCTAGTTTCTGTTAATATTTTTTCTCTTTAAATACTTTATTTGCATATACTCATCAAACATAGTAATGGATTCATTATGGCATATTAATGCACGCATGTAATCTGTTTTGATTATGCTTTGCCACATTATTCACTGTGTACTTCTTTTAGGACTTCTACTGATGCCTTTTCACTTTCTAAATGGTCTGCATTCTGCTTTCAGCCTAGCAGATTTTCATATCAGAGTATGTGGGAAAGTGGATTTGTCCATGTGTCTGTGCATGCAGGCTTGCGTGCGTGCATGCATGTGAGTAAAAATGCAGATGCAGGTGAGTATGTCTTGTATGTATGTGGAAAGTTAGTGAAACAGCATCCTTGAAGTTATGTGTCCTCGTCACTATTCTATTGCTATGAACAGACACAATGACCAAGGCAATTTATAAAAGAAACAATTAGGGGTTTCCTTACAGTTTCAGGGGCTATTCCGTGTCCATGATGGTGAGTAGCATCAGAGTATCAGTCAGTGCCGTATGCAAGACTGTTTCAGTTAGCAGAAAACTTACATCTGATCTGCAGTTTGGAGGCTGGAAAGAGATTGGGGCTGGTGTTGAGCCCACCCTTGATTGATGACATAGTTCCTCTAAAATAGCAAATGTCCTAATCCTTCTCAAAACAGTCAGCCATATTTCAGAAACAATCTACAATACAAGTGATACTTATGGTGATGATTGAGAAGGTGTGACCCATGCATGGTATGTGGCACATTCTCTGTTCAGATTCCTGGGGTGAAGAGTAGAGAGTGTGAACTGTGCACTATTGTGCATGTATCATGTGCATGTATGGCCCTGTGTTCAAACTGAGCACTGCTGTGCGTGTATTACTCTGTGGCTCTGTATTCTAACTGAGCACTACATTACTATGTACTATGTACTATTAATCCATGAGTCCATGTTTTTGATGTGGGAGTAACGTATACTGCTTTCTCAAGATTCTCCCATAATGACTTCCCTGAAAGGAATGAGGTTGATGAGTTGGAATTGTAATTCAAATAAACATTTTCTCCTTTGAATTTCTTTGTTCAGCATATTTTATCCTAGCAATAGTAAATAAAACAAAGACAAGCATAGTGTAAGTTTCCTTTGAAGAGAACAAATGTTTCCATCAGTAGGAACTATGATGAATTCACCCTATGCTTTAATTCTGAGAGCGTCTTCTATATGTGTGTTTTCTCTGTGTAGTATTTACATGTGCTGATATTTATGTGTGTATATATGTTTGTGTTATTATGAATGCTTGTGTATGCATGTGCAGTTAGAGTTCAGAGGTTGAAACCAGGTATCTTTTACAGAACAGATAAAACAATGTCTTCTTTATGGGAGCCATGGCTACATCAATCTTCAAAATTATTTCATAAATAAGAAAAAGAAGATCATATAAGAAATAATTTGTAGATATTTTAGAAATTTACTGATAATAAGTTGTAAAGAAATATATTTTAAACATTTCCACTGAAGGAAAAATAATGTACCATTTATTATTGTTGAACAAAATGTCACATATGTAAATTATATTGTTAACAATGTTATTAGTAATTGAGGTATTCATTTGTGTTTTAAAAGAAAAAGTTGTGTTTTTCACATTTTGGGATTTTAAGCCAGAGTAATGAGATGCACCTTTAATCCAGGCACTTGGGAAATGGAAGCAATAGTCCACGTAACAGTTCATAACAAGCATATTTGGGCTTCACAAAATCAGGTCTCAATAAACAAAGCAAATAAAAACCAAACAAAACAAAAAATGAAATTTTATGATGAACGTCCATGAGAAAGTTAAAAATTAAAACTATGT